TTCAACGATGGGAGACGTTGCTCTTGACTGATATTGATTAGGCGTGGCTGTTAGTGTTGTGAATGGTGTTGCTGCAGTTGTTGCGTTGTTGTGCAACAATGTTGAGAACAGACAGAACGAACAGTGGCATGGAAACTTCTGCTGAGAACTTCTAGTCGTTGTCGTCGTCGTTGTCGTTAATGATGTCGATGATGCTGATGATGTTGTTGCAGATGTTGTTGCAGACGATGATGACAACGTCGGTAATGATGATGATGTCGATGATGACGACGACGATGAAGTTGGTGATGACGTCAAAGATGCAGATGTTTTAAAAGATGATGATGATAACGATAAAAAAGTGGCCGACAATGATAACAGCGACGGCGGTAATGATAATGATGATAATAACGATGATGATGATGATGATAGTAACGATAACGATGATGATGATGATGCTTGCTGTTCATCAAACGCTTCCGTTGGAACGTCTAATGGGTGGTTGTACATTTGAGTGAATGTCGTCCATTTATTTAAGCTTAAATCTATAGGACTATAATCATTACTGTCGTTATTATTATTATTATTATTGTTGTTGTTGTTGTTGTTGTTATCACCATCATTATCACCATCACCATAATTAGCGTCATCATTATTATTGCTGTTGACGAGTTGTTGACGATGATTTGTTAGATTGTTGTAACAGTGGTAAGGGCCAGGGCAGACGTTACTTTTATTGTTGTTATTACTAATGTTATTACTATTATCATTGTTGTTGTTGTTGATATTGTTATTATTGTCGTTGTTTGAATGAAAATCTAATTGCGCTCGGTGCACATTGTTACTATTACCATTATTAATATTATTATTATTGTTATTATTGTTGTTGTAGAGCGTTAATAATTGTTCACTTTGTTGTCGTTGATGTTGTTCTTCGCCACAGCCACCACCACCACCACTACCACCACCAACGCAACCACCACCACCCTCATCACCATTCTTACCGTCGTTCGCTGCAGGGACCTGCGCGTAGTACACACCCATATCGTGTTGTTGCGATTGATCATGATAATGATACCTCTGATCGAGATGACGTTGAAACGGATATCGGTGATGATGATACTGATAAGAATAATGATGATGATGCTGCTGGTTGGACTGGTAGGGGTGGTAGCGATGATCGAGCTGATGATTGAGACGACAATTGCACTCATTATTATAGCTATGCGCAGGTTTTAACATGCCGTTACTACAAATACTTTGCCTCGATGAGTACAATAATGAAGATGGTAATGACGACGACGACGATGTCGTTGAAGAAGCTACTGCTGATGACGATGCTATCACATTCGATGGGGTGGGTGATTGCGTTGGCGATGATGATGAGGATGGTGACAGTAGTAAAGGGGATGATGGTGAAGAGGACGACGATGATAAGGAGCTAGGCTGAATGATACGAATCTGCACAGAGGTTAACGGCGACGATGATGATAAGGACGATGACGACGATGATGAGTGCTGGGAAATAGATTTTATGGATAAATCCATAGCCCTATCTTCCTCTAAGTTGCAGTCCGGGACAGGTTGTTGTTGTTGTTGTTGATGTTGTTGATCGTGGTGGAGTTGCTGGTTACTGTCGGATTGGAGGAAGTAAGTTTTTTTTTATAATAACATTACATTACTAGCTCAGCAAAAACAAGGACAGCATGAAAAAAAAATCAAATAATAACCGATACTACATTCTCAACCAAGAATGTAGGATCGGTTGAAGTATACGCTTCGGCAGTAGTAGTTGTGGCCAGATACCAGAAAATACAAATAAATACAAAATTAATTTCATCACTATTGGCGACTGAAAATGGATTGCAGACGATTCGAACGTGGCATTAGAAGAATATAGATAGATGATAGAAAAAAAAACAACCACAACAACAATAACAACAACAACAACAACATTAATAACAACACTATTAATAATAAAAATAATAACAACAAATAAATACTAATAATAAAATGGAGAATAGTTAGCCATACAAACAAGAACGGTGGGTGGGCTAAGTGCGTTCATAAGAATGCCGTTAGTCATAATAATAAAAAATTATAACAATAATAATATCAATTATAATAAGAATAATAATAATAATAGTAATGATAATAGTAATAATTATAATAATAACAACAACAACAGCAATAACAAACATAACACCAGCAACAATAACAACGAAAAAAGCACGAATAAAGCCGACGAAACAACACAACATACACATTATACAATACATATATACACATACACACATAGTTAAAAACCTCGTATTAAAATGACAACACTGTTGTTGTTGTTGCTCCTGCTGCTCCAGTTGACGCAACAATAGTTGTTGTTGATATTGTTGTTGATGATGGGAGTGTTGTTGTTGACATTGTTGTTGTTGTTGTTGTTGTACCGGCAAGAAAGAACGTTCGTCGTCGTCTTCTGTTAAGCAAAATTCAATTAATTATTTAGAGGGGAAAAAAATTACATTCACATATTATTTACTGAAGCGACCTCTGCTTGTCATACATCAATAGCGCTATAATAATAATGACAACAATATTTATTGATCACACACGCACATACACATACACACAGATCCACACACACACACACACACACACACACACACACACACACACACAACACACACAACACATACACACAACACCCACATACACACAACACATTGGATCTAACGTTTTACAATGAGAATAGTAACAAATTAATTAGCGAACGAAGAAATACTACTGCTGATTTTAAACGCTAAACAGTGAATGAAAGAATTAATCTGTATTGGTATCATCCAAGTTCTCTGTGCATCGAATGCACATGTACACGCACATAAGCAGTGATACACGCACAAAAGCATAGACTGTTGTGTACACACCAACTTGCACGTGACAAATGCACACACTAATTTGCACTTATGAACAGATATGTGACAGGTAGCTGGATAACAGCCAAACAACACACGTACACAAACTTGGACACACGTACGCACACGCACGCGCGCGCGCAAACAAACACACAAACAAACTAACAGAAGCACACATACACGTGTTAGCATACTATTTTGTTCATTGAAAGAATTCTGAGAAAACTATAAAACTAAATGAAGCCAACCAACACAACATAAGATCTGCTTAGCTTTATTTGCATTTAGCTATCAAATTCACAAACACACGCGCACACATCAAACTCTCGTTCTTCTTCTTTTTCTCTTTCTCTCTTTCTCCCTCTCTCACACACACACATACACACACACACAATCAAATAAACAAACATATGTTCACATACAAACACACATATACATACATACATATACACAATACACATAGACGAATCCAAATTAACGTATGGTTAAATTTCCTTATACACTAACACATAACAAATGAAACAAAAAATTCAAAAAAAAAAACAACAAACGCGCATATACAAACACACACACATACATACGCAAACACAAAACAACAACAACAAACGAAACATAGCATGGGTGAAACTCAGAGAAAGAAAAGGAGGGCAAGAGAAAGAGAGAAAGAAAGAGAGAAAGAGTGAGAGATACACAAATAGAGAAAAATAAACAAGCCGACAAAAATATAAAATTTATTGAAGTGTAAACACCAGTGTAAAATAATAAATTCAAATAAACCGGATAAACATATTTATTGGCTATCTTTATCCATCTCAACGCACGCAAACAAACACATACAAACTCACCCACACCATCAAACAAACTTCACACACACACACGTACATACACACACACAAACACGTACATACTTACACACAAACACACACACACGCACATACACACATACACATACATACACACACATAAAAATAATAATAGCAAATCCCACCGACATTAGCAAATGATAAAACATTTCCCAGGAGAATAAAAGATGAAGGATGGTTATTTAAAAAAATTTTTTTTGGTCTCAAAATAGAACGCTAAACAATTCAAAGAATAAATATAAAATTATAAAATATAAAATATTATTAATAAGAAGAGAAGAATACAAATATTATGATTTTTAATTATAAGAGTAATACTACTACTTCTTCTACTTCTACTACTACTACTGCTGCTACTACAACTACAACTACTACCACTACCACTACTACTACTACTACTACTACTACTACTACTACTACTACTACTACTACTACTATTACTAACACTACTACAACAACAACAGCCACTACTACAGAATGAATGAATGAATACAAAAATAAAAAAAAAAATCTAACCAAATTAATTAAAAAATAGTAACTTATCAATTTTTTTCCAAAAACTCTTTTCATTACAAATCCCAACACAAGACAGAGCAAGCACGGAGCAAGCACAACAAGCACACAAGACAAGAGCACCAGGCAGAGGTATTATTAGAGCATCTTAAACAATATGCCGAACCAAAAATAGAAGGCGTTGTGGTCGACCCGGCTACTTCAACAGCTTTAGTAGCAGCAGTATTAGTAGAAGTCGTAGTAGCAGCAGCAGTAGTAGTAGTAGTAGTAGTAGTAGTAGTAGTAGTAGCAATAATGGTAGCCGCATGAGCAGTTGTAGTAATAGAAATAGTAGTACGAGTCGTAGCAGTACTAGCTGCAATAGTAACAGCAGCGTAAATAGTGGTAGCAATGAAAAAGTGGTGCATTTTACATAGTATTTTGTAGCTGGAGTAGTTTTACAAATCATGGTAGAAGTTGTAGTAAAAGTAGTGTCAGTAGTAATAATGGGAACAGATCTTTTATTTTTCATCAAATGCGTAAAGTCAATAATTAATTAATTAATTAATTAATTAATTAATTAATTAATTAATTAATTAATTAATTAATTAATTAATTAATTAATTAATTAATTAATAGAGAAATAGTCATGATTAAAATAAAATTAAATAAAAATAAATTTAAATAAAATCATAATCATCATAGTTAGTCATCATTGCTCTTCATTTAAAATAAAATAAGTACAGCGATGATAAGATAGTAATAATAATAATAATAATAATAACAATCACAATAATAATAATAATAATGACAATAATAATAATAAATGAAGTAAAAATTGTTCTGTATTAAGTTTGTCAAAAAAATATATAACTTAATTCAATTCAACATGACTAATAACAACACCATCATCACCATCAACAACAACTACAGCATCAATATCATCATCATCATCATCATCATCGTCATCATCGTCATCATCATCATCATCATTATCACTACTATGATCATTATCATCATCAACACCACCGTCATCTTCATCATCAACATCAACTTACTTCCATTATCCATGCATTGAAATTCTTCATCCATCCTCTCACCTCCACCACAAACATAACCACCAGCATCATCATTGACATCTTCACATCCTGGATTATTTATTATTATTATTATTACTATTATTATTATTATTATTTATTATTATTATTATTATTATTATTATTTATGACCAAATTCCTTTTATGTAAAATTAATAAACACGCTATTAGCTCGTCATATAGTTCTTAGTGCCAGAGAATCAATCCCTACCCTAATGCTAATTATGTTATAATTCTTCCTCCAATGCAGGTGCAATTTATCACTTCTTATTCTGACCAGTGAACAAACAACAAAATATGTTTCTAGTAGTAGCAGTAGTAGTAGTAGTGGTGGTGGTAGTGGTGGTGGTAGTAGAGGTAGTGGTAGTAGAAGTAGTAGTAGTAGTAGTAGTAGTGGTGGTGCTGGGGGTGGTAGTAGTAGTCGTAGTCGTAGTAATATTAGTAGTATTAGAAGTATGAAAATTAAACATGACAGCAACGGCTATGATGATAACACATAATAATAATAATAATAACAACGACAACAATAATAATAATAATAACAGGATTACTTGATTTAATTGTAGCAGAGGAAGGTATGCTGATTGATGTTTGTGAAACTTTTGTTCCCCGTTCAGATAGTGCGTGGATGTCGTTTTTATTACTATTACTATTATTATTATTGTTGTTGTTGTTGTTGTTGTTCGTGACGCCAACATTAACTGCGTTTTGTTGTAGCGAGGCTGTTTGTTGGCCACCGGTACCCAACGTAGCAGTCGCCCATGTCGTTATTGTCGTCGTCGCCGAAAATTTGTCATTACTAATGTTATTATTTTTGTTATTATTGTTGTTATTTTTATTATTACTATTATTCTCTGGCGAAGCCCCGTTAGAAGATGAAGCGCCGTCCATAGCAGCAGCAGCAACAGAAGCAGCAGTAGCAGCAACGCCATCAACCTGACCAACTTCTGGTAAGTAGGTCGGTGCATGAACCCTGCCCCCGTGTTGTAGTTGACTTGATTTCGAGTGACTGACCTGGTACTGGACGAGGTGGCAGCGAAGGGACACGCTGGAAGGTGATGAAGGCTTTTCCGGGGCAAGACTAAGAGCTGTGAGAAGTTAGTTTCGTTTCGTTGAATGGCAAAAAACCGTAACGACAACGTGATTAAATACACATTCAGTCCACACGCACACACACAACCCACACACACACACACACACACACACCATCTCAGACATTTACAACCACACAAACACACACAGACAGACACACACATACAATAAAAGAACGAAAATGCAAGCATACTTTGCGACTTGCAGAAAGTTGACGATCTTTGTTTGCCTAGCATAGAATTAAAATATTCAATATTATATTTATTATCGTTCACGCAATTATTGTTATTAATGTTATTATTATTGCTGTTGTTATTTATGTTAATGTTGGTTTGAGGTAATTGTTGTTGTTGTTGTTTGTCAACAGCATAAAGTTCTGCAGATGATGAAGACGATGATGGCAACGATGATAATGATAACGATGAAGATGACGATGATGAAGCGACTGCAGTAGCTACAAGCGAGGAGAAAGAAGTTTCACCATTAACAAACCCTGTTGGAAGCGACAACGATGATAATAACAATGTAGAAGATGACGACGACGACGACGATAATGATAACAATGATAACGATGATGATGATGATGATGCCAATGACCACGATGCTGTTACGTCACTTCGGTTATTTACAAGAAAAAGTCCATCCTTCTCGCTTTTTATGGATGGAATATATCTCTCAGCCACACAAAGCTTGTCATCATCGTCGTCTTCATCTTCATCAATATTATTATTATTATTGTTGTTGTTGTTGTCGTCGTCATTATTATTATTATTATTATTATTATTATTATTATTATTATTGCTGTTGTTGTTGGTGTTGTTGTTGCATGAGTTGTTGCTCGTGTTGTCGGCAATATCTTTTTGTATAATATTTTCAACGTGTTCGCATTTTAATGCTATCGATGACGTTGATGCCGTGGCTAGTAGCAAGGCTTTCGACGTTGTTGTTGATGTTGTTGTTGTTGCGGCTGCTGCTGATGTTGCGGTTGCTGACGATGTCGCGAGTCTGTTCGGCGACAGAATGTCGGCGATTTTGAAATTAGTGTTTTTGTAGCTAGGCGAGAGGAAATAGTTCTGATTGAATTCACTTTTAAATTCATTTCCTGTTGATGGCGTCCTCGCAGCTACTGCAGCTACTGCTGCTGCTGAAGTTAATTTAGGAGAATTTTCCATTTTTAATTCCATCTTTACCCTCGGCTGTTGCAACTGATGATCAGTGTTATTATTATTGTTGCTACTGCAATTGCTGCTGTTGTTGTCAGAATTATTATTATTATTATTGTCATTGTTACTGCTGTCGTTATTAGTGGTAGTAGTATTATAGTTGTTGTTAATGTCATTATTATTATTGTTATGGCTGTTATTGTTATCGTGACTATCAAGCAAATTATCACCACCAAAATTAATGTTATTGTTATTATTATTATTATTGTTGTTATTATTATTATTATTATTATTATTATTATTATTATTATTATTATTATTATTATTATTATTATTATTATCTTTGTGAGAATATTCATGCGACGAGTGTTTAGATTTTTTACTACTACTATTATTACTATTACTAACACAGCAAGTATAAACTTCGTTATTATTATTATTATTGTTGTTGTTGTTATTTTTATTATTTCTATTATTCTTATTATTATTGTTAGTATTATTATTATTATTCTTTTTAATACCTTCGTAAGCAACTATGGTAACGTCATCGTCGTCGTCGTTATTATTATTACTGTTGTTGTTGTTGTTGCTGTTGTTGTTGTTGCTGTTGTTGTTGTTGCTATTTATTCTGCTACAATTTGAATTAAAATCGACCTCTGCGAAATTAATAAAATTAATATTACAAAAAATGATTTAATTCAATTACATTTAAAGTAAATAAAAATGAGTAAAAGTGCCAAAAAGTTTTTCTAATTTGTTTACAAAGAAACAACTAAACGAAAAGAAAAGAAAAATTTTTTGAAAAAGAATTACGTACGTCAAAATAATTTGAGGCAAAGATAAAAAACAGTTAAAAATAGTCTTCTCAGAAATAAAAAAATTGCATTCAATACAAACAAAACACACGTACATACAAACAAACATACACACACACACACACACACACATACACCGACTACACACACACACACACACACACACACACATACACCGACACACACACACACACACACACACACACACACTAGAGATGCACCGAATATTGAAACTGGCCGAATAGTCAAGTCGGATCCATTATCCGACCAAAGCCGAACCCCAAAAAGAACGCTAATTTTGAAAAAAAATTAATGAAAAAGGATCAAATTTGGATGTTTTAAAAGCTACCATTCCCCGCTAATAATAATAATAATAATAATAATAATAATAATAATAATAATCAAAAGTTATTGGTGTGGAATCGAAACCAAAATGATGGCATAAACAGAAAGGTTGGTTTTTCGCTTGGCTATTCGGTCATTAAAAAGCCAAATGTCAAATTTCGGCGAACAATCAACTCTACTCTACTATTTTACACTCACACACATACCCATACTTGTATTTTTATTTTACACATGCAAAAGATGCAATGTCGTAAATATAAACATACGTACACTTCTTACACACATACATATAAACACACAAAAACACACAGATACATGTATGCAAACAATGATGCTATGGAGGCATAAATTCTTTTTTATTCAATTATACACGCACACACACACACACACACACAGAGAGAGAGAGAGAAAAGAGAGAAAGAAAGAAAGAGGGAGAGAGAGAGAGGAGAGAAAGAGTTAAAACTGGCATTACGTTTGCAGAGGCACTAAAATAACACTAAAGGAATATTTAAAGCAACAGAAAAGAATAAAAATAAATAGATCCAATAATAATAATAATGTTGGTAATAATAAAAATAATAAAATCGACAAAAAGAATATCTATAATATCGATAAAAAAAAGTTTAAAAAAGCCAGCCAAGCCAGGCAATAATGTTATGAAGCAGAATAGTAGATTAAGTAGAAATATGAATTCTTCTCAAATTAAAGGATCATATTACACATATCTAAAAATGAATAGAAGAAAGTAGTAGTAATAGTAGTAGTAGTAGTAGTAGTAGTAGCAGTAGCAGCAGCAGCAGCAGCAGTAGTAGTAGTAGTAGTAGAAGCAGCAGTAGTAGTAGTAGTAGTAGTAGTAATAGTAGTAGTAGTATTAATAGTAGTAGTAGCAGCAGCAGCAGTAGTAGTAGTAGCAGTAGTAGCAGCAGCAGTAGTAGTAGTAGTAGTAGTAGTAGTATCAATATAATTATCAATATCGTTGTAGCATATTATTATTTATTTAATACGTTCACATTCATTGGCCACATAAATCTCATATAGAGTGGAATCTATCTATTGAATACAGCCATTGTATATCTTAAACACTGATTATCATTACTGAATATTATGTTACCAATTCATTTGTTGTTCTCGTTCGTTCTGTTTGTCCGTTCATTCATTCGTTTGTTCTTTCAAGTTCACACGTTCATTTGTTAATTAATTCATTCGTTCGTTCGTTCGTTTGTTCGTACATTCAAATTAGAAACTCTT